CCACACACAAGATGTTGCCAGACCTCCACCTGCTCTAAGACGACCAAGCAGGATCACTATGCTGGGGTTCAACCAAGTTCACAGGGGAACATAATCTCTGGCCGAGGTAGCAAATTAGTAGCCACACAGTTCTCAACTTGAGAATTACTTATATCAGAAGTTTGAGCATGTAGCTGATGAATATCTGCAGTAGTTTTTACAATTGTTGCCTAGAACTCACAGATGGAAGAAAACTTATCAAGTAATATGAAGAACTGATTGTGAGTGACTCTTTAGCCCTCATAACTGAAAAGGAACTCTGGTGGTGCACTGTTTAAGGACTTTGCTGCTAAATGAAAGATTCACACCCACCAGCTGCTACTCAGGAGAAAGGTGTGGCTTTCAGAAAATCAAATTCAGCCTTGGAGACTCTTTGGGCAGCTCTACTATGTCCTTAACAGACCATGTGAATCCCATAAGAAAAATACTTTTTTTTTTTTTTTAATGATAAAGGGTGGTTAGAGAGCTCTAGCCTCGAGATTTAGGAATCTCCCAGTTATAATTTCTAAGAAGATGAATTATTAAGATATAAAAACAAATTGTATGAGATGTCGTGTGGTTTACTATAAAGCCACAGAAGAGTCTGATGCCGGAGTTTATACAAGTTTTGCCTAGAACTCACAGAGATGGAAGTAAAATGTCAAAGATTGTGAGGGATTGATATTGTATAATATTGAATCAAATCTCATCATTGTACAGGGGCTGTGGTGATGCAGCATTTAAGCATTTTGCTGCTAACCAAAAGATTTGATCCCACCAGGTGCTCATTAGAAGAAAGACGTGGTGGTCAATTTCCATAAATAATTCAGTCTTGAAAACTCTATGGGGTAGTTCTGCTCATTCTATAGGGTCACCATGAGTCCAACTTGACTGAAAGGTAGTGAGTTTGATGTCAGTACCATAATGAGCATATCTTGACCATTTTCCTTCCACAAAGTATGAAGTACTTGGCAATGAACCAAAATTTGTAAATTTGGTTTCTCCATTCTCAGAAATATTTATCAGTTTATTCCTTGTGTGATTTTTTTTTTTTTTTTGATGTTGCAAAATAAAGTCAAAAGAAGGGGAATGAAAAGAAGATTCAAAGTTAATTTAGATGCCAAAAAAAAAAAAGTTTCAGTAAATTAAATTAAACTCAAGAGAAGGAGAATGAAAGGAAGATTTAAAGAGAAAATTAATTTAGTTGCAAAAAAAAAAAAAAAAAAAAGTTCCAGGAAATTAAACACTGAATCTGAGAGTGATATGTATTTCTTTTGCAAAAGTCATTCTGTTCTTTATTACAATGAGATTTTCATGACATAAGATGTTAATTGGAAGAGTGCTAATACGGCACAATTTGGCCTTTGTCTACATAGTTACAACAGCTTTCCTGATGATAAAATTATTTGCAAAGAAAGAACATTAGGGAATACTCTGTCCAAACAACTAATCCATTTTTACAATTCCCAACACTCTATTTTCTCTAAAGGGCTATTAATTCTATCTTTTAAAATAGGATGGTATATTATACAGATTAGAACTCATCCAATTTGTTGTTGTGAAGTGCCATTGAGTCTGTAATCAACAGCTGATCACTGCTTTGCTTTTTGTTGTTGTTTGTTTGCTAATTAAAAAAATAAACAATGAATTTCATTACTTGAAATGGAAGTTTGTGGTTTTTTGGTGAGGCGAATGTAACTATTTTTCAGTGACAAGACCGGGGCCTTTAGCACAACTGACTCAGCTATAACTTCTAGCTTACTAGTGTACACTATGAGCTATATGTTTGTATCCCATACTTCTAGGACATAATTGATACATGGCAGGTAATTTATGAATAATTGATTTAAGAAACAATGAGAATAAATGACTGGAAATAATATTTTCTATTACATGATTTCATATTCTCTTTTCTTCTAGCTGCCATCATAATTAATTTTTTCAAAATGATCATGGAAAATACAACCACAATGAGTGGATTCTTCCTCATGGGGTTTTCTGACATTCGGGAACTACAGATTTTACATGCTCTGCTCTTCTTGGCAGTGTACCTGTTAACCTTAGTAGGTAACCTCATCATTATCATCATCACCACAGTAGACCAACATCTCCAAGCCCCAATGTATTACTTCTTAAAACATCTTTCCTTCCTGGATCTCTCCTTCATTTCTGTCACGGTTCCCCAGTCTATTGACAATTCTCTGATGGATGATGGCTATATTTCCCACAGTCAGTGCATACTCCAGGTTTTCTTCTTCACATCTCTGTCTTGGTCTGAGATGGCTATTCTCACAGTGATGTCTTATGACCGCTATGCAGCTATCTGCTCCCCACTGCACTATGAGGTCACCATGAATCCTAGTATGTGCCAGTGGGCTGTGATAGCCGTATGGCTAAGTGGAAGCATCTGTGGAATCTTGTACACAACAACCACATTCTCCATCACATTCTGTAAAGCCAAAATAATTCACCAGTTCTTCTGTGACATCCCCCAGTTACTAAAGCTCTCCTGTTCCAATGATTACCTGGGAGTGATTGGAGTAGTAGCTTTCATATTTGTGATGGCATTCAGTTGCTTCACCTCCATTATCTTCTCCTATATACACATCTTCTCCACAGTACTAAGAATACCCTCTGCTGAGGGCAGATCCAAGGCCTTCTCTACCTGCCTGCCTCACCTATTTGTTGTCTCCTTTTATGTCTCCACTGGTGCTTTTGCATTTCTAAAACCAACTTCAGATTCTCAGACTGCTGTTGATCTTCTGATTTCTATCTTTTATACAGTCATTCCCCCAACCCTTAACCCTATAGTCTACAGTCTAAGGAATGAGGCCATGAAGGAAGCTTTCAGAAAGTTACTATTGGATGTACAATTCACAAGGAAAAAAACATTTTTGTCCTTTTGTTGATAACTCATTCATATTAAATATAAGCAAATGAGAACTAATAAGTGATATTAAAACCGATCCCCTGTATTTAATTATACAATAAAACTTGTCATTAGGGAAACTCTTCATATAAATATAATTCCTCCATTTTTAGTCATTGAAACCATTTGTTCATTCTTTCCAATTAAGATACAATAAATAATTATAAATTTATAATATATGCTTACTACTTTCCTGTCCCTTCCAATGCATATAGGCACAAAATTATTCAGAGACATACATGAAAACAGACACAATTTTTATTTCTTATTCTAAATAGGCATATTATAACTGAAAAGGAAATTAAAACTGATAAATTACCATGAACTTTACCATAAAAACAAAAACTATTTTACCTTAGTTTTCAAATTAACATGTCTATTTTAACTCTTATTTGTCTACATACCAATTTTGCATAATGATACAAATTTCTATACTACTAGTATGTATAAAGGAGCTCTGGTAGCGTAG